AGCTTCAGCCTGAATAGAATAAGGAATTATATTAGGTTTAGCCGTTTAGGACAAAATAAGTTTATATATTTTTTGTGTGGCTACTGGCTAGCTATCATTTAAAAAAAATATATATGTTTAATTTTTTTAAAATAATTATTAATATATTATTATATTAATTTTATTTAAACGGGTTAAAAGTTTAATAAACGGGTTGACATATATCACCCGAACACGACCCGTTTAACACGTTTACCCGTTAAGGTCTCATTCAAACCCGTTTAATCCGTGTCGATTCGTGTCGGTTAATCATGTCGTGTTGAATTTTGATAGGTCTAACTATCACACTCTTCCCCCCCCCCCCCCACTACCGCCGCCACCACCACCATCATTCGTCATCACCCATCACACTGTAGCCCAGAAGTACCAATCGCTGCTCACCATTACTATCACCATCGTCACCGCCCTGTCGTCCACCGCCACTCACACTCACCATCACCACCACCATCATTGTTGTTCCCTATCACCCACTACCACAACCCACTATTACCTATCGTCGTCCACCACTGTCGCCACCCACTATCACCCACCACCATTCGTCATCACCCATCACACTGTAGTCCAGAAGTACCAGTCGTTGCTCACTATCACCATCGTCACCGCCCACCACCACCCACACTCACCATCACCACCACCGTTGTCACCCATGACTACCACTACTACCATCGTCACTCAAAATCCACCACCACAACCATCATCGTCTTTTACCACCAACACTGTCGCACACCACCATTACCTTCGCTCACTCTCATTACACTTGATGTTTAAATTCCTTTCTCTCTTCTCTATTTATATTAGTAAAACTTTGATTTCTATTATCTGTAGTGTGAATTTATATGTATTATAAACTTTGTCTTCGATGATATTTTACATAAATTTATTTGTTTTAATAATACTTTGGTTTTCATTACATAACATGAATTTATCAGTATTATAAACTTTGATTTCACGATTATTTTGTTGTGAATTTATCAGTTTTAATAAGTATCAAATTTTCAAAGCTATTTTAGGTCAATTTTGTTTTGTATTAAATAAACTTTGATTTTTATTATATGTAACACGAATTTTTTTGTATTATAAATTTTGTGTTTCATGATATATAAGTGAATTTGTCTTTTTTAATAAAGCTTATATTATTTTCAAAACTATTTTAAGTGAATTTATCTGTATTAATAAATTTTTAATTTTCATATGTAACATGTATTTATCTGTATTATAAATTTTAATTTTCTTCACAATGTAATGTTTCTTTGAGCACTACAACTACACCCACAACCAAGAAAACAACCACCACAAACCAAAGAAAAATTAACAATTTTATCTTTTAAATAGAAATTATGGAAAAAAAATTGCATTTTCTAAAAGTTGAGATAGTTCGGTGGACAATGTGGAAGACGTTGAACAAAGAGCACTTAATAATAAACTCCATTTTTTAAAGTTTCTTTCAGTGAACGATTTTCGTAAATTAACAATAATTTGCAAATATTTATATTATGTATATAGTAACCTAAGAAAGAAGGATTAAAAAAAATAGGATAAGACAAAAAATAAAGTAATTGCAGAGGGAGAGACTATGGATATAGGTATAGACTATAGAGAGAGAATGGATAAAGGAGTTGCAGACACAGACACTATTGGGCCCTTCTGAAAGCTCTGAATCTTTTTTTTTCCATGGACTTGTTTGAAGGTTCTTCTCAAGGCAAATGGTTCTAGTTCAATTTGTTTCGAACCCTAACAACCAATTTCAGAAAACAATGGCTAGACCGGAACGCGACAAAGATGCCGACGAAAAACAATGATGGGCTCCGAGAAAAAACATAGACCAGAGAGAAATGGAAAACTGATGGACAATTCCGAGAATGGTGTGGAAGGCAACCCGTGTTCTCGGTGCCGAGGGAATACTGTTATTCTAATGAAGATATGTGTCTTCGGCACCGAGAACACGTCTGTTATGAGAAAGACACGTGTTTTCGACTCCGAAAGAGTGTACTAATCTGCCACAAGTATTTGTGGTCGGAGGTGCTCTCCCTCCCTATGATGGACATGTGTCCTCGATTTCAGGGTACCTCCACTCCGAGAGAGCTAAGTGTCCTTGGATTCGAGGGAGCCAGGTGTCCTTGGATCGTGTGGGTCTTGAATCAGCATGTGTACCTATGCCGATTCTTTCTTGGCCGGTACCAGATGGTAGAGCAAAGGTGGTGGTGGTGTGGCTGACGGTGGTGGTAACTGTCGTTGCTTGAGAGAGAGAGAGAGTGAGAGAGAGAGAGGGGAGTTACGATGGGAAGGGCTGGGGAATTGGGGGGGGGGGGGGGAAAGGGTTTTAGTTTTATAATGGAAAACACAAAGATCTCGTTTTGGGTGGGAAGAGTTTTTTTTAAAGAGCTAAAATGAAGTCGTTTTATTTTTTAAAATATTATATTTTGTGATGAAAATAAAAACATCATGATAAAATTTTAAAACAAATTATTGAGACAAAAATTGAAAATTAATATTTCATTTAATTTTTTTCTTTAATTTTGATTTACAAAAACAAAATTCAAATTCTTGATGAAAAATTAAACGTCTCGATAAAAATTCCTAAATAATTTATTTCGATGTAAATAAAAGACATCGTGAATTAATATTTTTATTTACAAATATAAAATTATCAAAATTGAAATTTACAAAATTGTCGCAGATAGAATACTTTTTTACGACGTTTTTTAATTCATCGTAAAAAAATAATTTTTTTTATAACGCTCGACCATAAGGCTTAAAAGCATATCATACTTCCCCTTAACAACCGGAAAAATGTGTGCGCGGATGTACTGTTAACCAATTTTCACTTTTTAAAATTTGTAACAATAACTACATTAACTTAACTCACCAATTCCGTATGACCACGTTCTGGTGGTTGCACACCCTTAAGAGCAGGGGCATCAACCACGTTTCAGTTGAATGAAATATTCGGGATTATACTTTCCCTCGATAATAAATCACCGTAATAAATTCACAGGACTTTAAGTGGTTAAATATCTTTAAATTGACAAGTTAGCAGTTACAGTTGTTATAGACTGCAAAGGGCGCCCGGAGAAGGCGCCGAAGAGTTAAAATCTCTGGGAAGCCGAGTACACCCATTAGAGTCTAGTATTAAATGAGATATGACAATCCATTAAATTGGTTCTTGAGCGACTGTAAGTCATTAAACACGCATCCAGGTCTTTAAGGGGTGCGAGACCAGTCATTATTATAAAGCATTAATTATCGTGACGTCAACTCTATGTTTTCGATGTAACCTGAGAGGTGTTTATTCCCGAACAGTGAACCATCGAGCGTAGGTGTCAAGCACCGAACAACGATATTTAATGACAAGGAATAGGGTCATAAAGACTCGGCGTGTCCTGAGCAAAGGTTTGATCGCTCGAGCGAATCAATCTTGAGAGGATTTGATAAAATAGCACTCATTATGCATAGATACGAGTATAAACCATTAAATGTTGAGATGTGCATGACTCAAAGGTCCTTCAATCATTGCTGGCTCTGATATAAATATGCTTTAAAAAATTGAATAAAGGTACGCAATTCGAATCTACAAAAATATACAATCTTAATGACTCTCACATCGATTGATTTAAACTTTGGAGCGAATTAGTCGAGTGTTCACCTGACCCTTTTTCTAATCCTTTGATTGTTTCAAATTTATCATTTAACGGATCGCTATCTCAACATATTAGCGGAAATCACCTGTGCAAAAATATAAATGTGAAATATTATTTGTAAACGAGTCTCTCACACACATATATGATAAATAATTGATCATTGCGCAAAATTGAAAAACGTAACTGAAAGGATTTGAATCTCATTTTATTTTCAACAAATAATTGAGGGTGAATCAATTAATATCACAACGCACGATTTACATGCATCCTTTAAAGTAAGAAAGAATTTAAACTTGGTATTGATACCAAACTGGAACGCCCACCGCAATCCCATTAGAATTAGAAACCTTTTGGCCTATCGGAGCTCCGAACAATGGCCGTCCACCACTACTACTACCACCACCACACCCACCATTTGCCGGCGATTTCACTCGTACAGAAAGATTAATAATCCCATTCCTCTCACCCTTCACATCCCTCAACCGATAACTCAAAAAATGCAAGTAGTTCGCCGGTACATATCCTCCGAGGAAGTCCGAAGCTGGAATTCTCGCCATTCCGACGATCTTATTTCCTGAACACGTCTTGCAATGCACTTCAACGGTAACGTAACGTGCATGCATGGGCATATCAACGACTAGTTTCTCATGCCATGCAGGGTAGCTTCCACCTTCAGCATCACTGTTCGTTGTTCGAACATTATGTGAATCGGTCCGAAGGATCACGAAAGCATTCTGCTTCACGCGTCTCTGTTTGATACGGAGACCCTCGCCAGAGATGACAGTGATTTCTAAATTGCGTGCTTTTGTCTCCATAACAAAGAAGATTGAATGACAAAGAGGACAGGTTCGTGGTCTTATATATATGCATGCATTGAAGCGTGTGTTTGCGTGGAACTTGTTGATGGCGCGTTTGTTGTAATTATGAATATTGGGTTTTGTTATGTGGAAGAAGAAGAAGAGAAAGGGGCGAGAAAGAGATACGATGCTTGGTTTTGTTTTGAGGAAGAAGAAGAGAAAAGAGAGAGAAAGAGATGCGATGTTTCTGCACTTTTGACTAAACGTGGAGAAAAGAAAAGGGGAGGGAATAGATGGACTGGCTGTCACTTGGTGATGTGGTGACAGCGAATGAGGTTTATGATAGGATTGGTTTATGGGTTGATTGTTTTGGTTTAAAAGATTTGATTGGCTGTCAGCTATGGGTTGACTGTTTGGTTTATAAGTAACGTGTGAGTGAAAAACTCTAGATGGGGTAAAAGTGTTGAACAGAAATTCAATTTTGGCGTGTGGTGCAGTTTTTGGAAAATTTGAGTAGTCACACCATTTACAGATACCAGCGTCTAGAAATAAGTTGCTTGATTTGCGTTGCTTATTTTCATACGTAATTTATGGTGTTATTGTGTTGATTTAATGTATTATAATTATTAATTTGATAGTGAATTTCAACTAAATTTGTCAATCATATTGGATGAGGCAGGTGAATATCGGGTCTTAGAGGGTTCGTGTCAAATTTTAATAAGTTTATGCTAAAAAATATTTTACTCATTTCTAATTCGTTTATTAACTATTATATAATGAATCAAGACACGTTGAGTTTTTGTCGTATATAAATCGTGTAGAATTAGTGTTTAAATGTGTCATATTATGTATTTTTTTTATTACTTTTACCAATAGATGATTTATTTATTAATCATGTTGTATTTACTCGTTTTTAAAATAGGTAACTCATAGAAACCCAAACCCTTTAAATTTATGTCCTGTTCATTTTATACTTTGACACCTCTAATTTCAATTAATACTGATACCCACTGTCATTTGAATTAAATTTATTAGTTAGATATATTGAATTATTAGAAAATTCCATTTAATATTAGAATCCAAGAGCCAGATTCACGGAACTCTAAGGTAGCTCAAATGATAATAGAAATGAGCTCTAAATTTACACGTCCAGAGTTTGAATTTTAATAACTCTTTGAGATTAGGTCACGAGAGATTTATCTTTTATGAATATCTTAATTCCGGTATAGATGATCTGTCTTTGACCAGATTGGGGAGAAAATTAGTCAAGGTGTGCAGGCCATGAGAAATTTATCCTTTATGAATATCTTAGTTCCGGTATAGATGATCTATCTTTGATTAGACTAAGGAGGAAATTAGTCGAGATGTGCGTAACTGATTCGAACACCCTTAACTGTTGAACCAAAAAAAAATTGTTAACAAATTTAATTCAAATAACATTACTCTTAGTTAAATTCTCATAAATCAAATGCATGTTCTAAAAGCATTCTATATGTCTTTTTGATTCTATATATTTAGAATTAAAATTTTACTAAGTTGAATTCTATGCTTATGTGAGAAAAATCTAAATCCTATATATTTAATAACGTATAGCTAATTGTGCGCGTGGTGTTATTTATATTAATATAGCAATCATTTTTTAAAAATGAATGGTTTAGGAAGTTGTTTTTTTTTTTTTAATTAAACCTTCTTTTGACCTTATACTTTTATCAATTAAAAATATTAATCAAATTACAAAATTAAAATATATACCTGAAGCTAAATTCCTAACTTGGCGCCATGGCTGCTAGTATTAACCAAACCATGCGGAAGGAGTCGTTAGAAAAGAAAAACATTTGAGTAGGGTACTCAAATTTTTGATTGGCCGTAATTTTTTATCATATTTAACGCTATTCTACCCTATTGAACAACTAGCAACAAAAATTGTATAGAAATACGAAAAAATTTTTAATCTTTCGATTAAATAGGGTATGAATGTAGAATATTAATCAATTTTCGCATTCCTGTCATATCCTATCCGTAAAAAATATATTTACTTTTTTTTTTATATATTTTTTAGTATTTATGTGGTATAATTTATATTATAACATTGTTATTGTTATGAATGTTTGAGTTGTAAAAATATGGATTTGTTTTTTGTATATGTTACATGATTTGTGGTGAACTGATGATTTATTGGAGCAATTATGATTTAATGTATTTCAAATGATTTAAACTTAAGATAATTATTATTGTATTTGTGTAATAATTATGATGGATTGATGTTGATGCTTTCTTATGTTTTACTGTAATTATTGTTGTAGTTATTTTAAATTTTAGTGTTATTGATTTATTGTGTTATTAAATTGATGTATATTATTTAATTAAATTATTAAAATGATCTAAAAATTAATAGTTACAAAAGTGTTTATCCGACTTCCTAACCAATTAATCGAATATGAATATCACACTTGATCGAATAGAGTAGATAAAGAAATTTTTTTTTCGTAAAATATCATATACAAAGATGAAAAATTATATTTTCTACCCCGTAAAATAGGGGAAGACCCCTACATCTGACCATATCAAAACAACGGCAAAAAGTATAAGGATACGTTTCAAAATATATTTGTGATATCACTTTATTGTTGTCAGGTGTCTGCATGCCTATGTAAGCTCGCTTTAACAGATCACTTTCGCGGTATGAAAGTCGAAGATTCCTCGAACCTTTACAGAAACATTGCAGATGTTTCCTCTTACGCACCCTCTGGATTTTTACCCATTGTTTTGGGTCCTTTCTGCTCAACTTCTTGTTTCATTTCATTCTTTAATTTGTTTCTTTCTGAGTTTTTTGTTTTCGATTATACTTGGACAGTTCGAGGGAAAGATTTTGTGGGCCATTAGTTCAAGGTTTCAAATTTAGGATACGCAACATTTGAACTCATGATTATAACAAAAATTCTAAGTGCAAGCAATCATTTGCAAAACATTTATATGGTTAAAATGACTCTCATGTGCGTGCTGGATCTTGCATAATATAAAAACAAGAACTGATCTCTCCCTTGGTGAACTCGAGTGAATTGGTGGAGTGGTCAGCCACGCTGCTTGGAATAGTCTGTGAAATCCTGTGATAACCTGGAACGGTAATGGGAGACCCTCGTGGATCAAAGGAACGATCCAGTAAAGCTGAAGAAAAATTCCTAGAATAAAGAAGAACAAGTTAGAAAGGCGTCGGAGCATTTTCCGGCATATTCCCTCTGACGGTTAAGTCAGTCTTTAAGAGAGAGAGGAAGAAGAAAACATCTCCATTACTATTATTTTTTTTTTGTGGAATAAAAAACTTACTTTGGATTGATTTTCTTTCGATGTTTTTCTTGTAGGTAGGAATGGGTCTTTCTATTTGACAAAAAAGGAAGAAAGTTATATACTCCTATAAATATCTAAGGTAGGATTTGGTAACCAACTTTTTTTTTTATAATTTTTATCAAAATAAAAAAAAATACGTTCGGAATGTGTTTTTATTTTTTTTTAAGGTACTGTGTTTTGAATATAAGGTCAAAAAATGTAAATAAGAAAAAAAAAAAAGAGATTTTCATAAACACCCAAAAATTAAAAAACGTGCGCGCAGTGAAACCTCCTTTAAAGAGATCCAGCCTTTGAATCCCCTAAGTAACAAAATGATGAATTTTTTTGGGTTAACTATAAAAACTCATTTACGCTATATTTGATAGGAAGAATAGAAAGTGAAAAGGATACATTTTTTATCCTCTAACGAAGGAAAATAAGAATGATACACTTTCCTTCCTTTGTGTTTGGTAAGATGGATGAAAAATAAAAATGTTTAATTTTTATTTATTTATTTTTTGGTTGGTAAAATGAAAAAAATATTTTTTTAAATTTAAATTAATTTTTTTTTAATTTTTTGTTAAAAATATATATAAATATATATTTTATCATTGTATTTATATATGAAATTAATATAAATATCAACTTATATATAGACAAATAAGATATATTTTAACACAAATAATTAATTTTTCACTCACTTTCTTTCCAATTTTGAAGGAATTGATTTTGATTAGTTGAAAAGAAAGTTTATTCATCTATTTTTTCATCCTTCTTCTTTTTCTTCCTTACCAAACATGATATTTTATGTCTTCTTTTAATTTTTTATCTTTATGACTTTTAATCGTTGCAAAGGGAGCATTACTCTTCTTTTTCTAGCTCTTTTCCTTGTCTCTGTCTCTCTCTCTCAAACTAAAACTGTCCCACGAAAACAAACCGAAGCTCCTCATTTCAAGTCTCTTTCTCTCAAATTGAATAGGAGGGTTGGGTGGTCGGTTTTTGGTGGTGGATTTTTAGGAGTGTCGGTGGTGGGTAAACAAGTGGGTCAGGTGGTGGGTTTTTGGTGGTGTGTTTTCAATGGTGTTGATGGTGGGTAAACAGATATTTTGCTTACATCACGTAACGTTGTCAGCATTCCTATGAAAGCTTCGCTTTAACAAACACTTTCCCGGTGAGAGAGTTGAAGATTCCACATACCTCTCAGAAACATCGCTGATGTTTCGTATTTTTATCCATTGTTTTGGGTCCTTTCTGCTCAATAATTTCTCATTTTTAATTAATTCTTTAATTTGTCTCTTTTGAGTTTTGTTTTCGAGTGAAGAAAGTTAAGGAGCTTAAAAGTTTAAAAAAAGAATAAATATGAAAGACTCTTGACTTGATTTATAAATTCTTTATTTTAGACTTGCACGCAACAACTTAGATGAAAAAGAATGGTTACTGTTAGATATCAGAAAAATATGTAGGCCACGCTAGACAGATCAGTTCATACCTAGTAGCTAGGTCGGCACAAATTAAGTAGATAGACAATATGACTCCAGAAGACGAGATACCAAAAGGGATAAACGATTCATCAAACCTTATCTGAAGCATCAAGTCATTGCCTCTCAAAGGCCACGTCGATAAAAGAGGACTTTTTCTATCAAACCTTACCTTGTACATCAAGATATTGTCTTTCAAAGGTTATCTCACCACTTCTAAAAAAATCACGTCATATTTATCGATAAGAGTCTTTAATACTTATAGATAAGAGTCTTTAATAGCCAAATATTATCCGACAAATCTATTAGGATAGCAATGATAACAAGTGAATAAAAGACTAACATATACGTTGCTTCAAGGGTAGGCATGTCAAATGTGTCAGATTAAACGATTATGCGTTGAATTAAACGGTTGACGGGTGAAAAATATGTAAACCCATATACGACACGTTTAATAAACGAGTAAAAAATCTCAACACGAACACAAACTGTTTAATAAACGGATAACACGACACAATTCGTTTAGTCCGTTTAATTTTAATTTATTATTAGTTTATTAATATATTTCTTGTGACTATCACTAAATTAAAAAAAAAATGTGACTATCACTAAAAATATATATATATATATTATTTGGTTGTCATTAAAAAAAATGTGTCTATTTTTTTAAATAATTATTAATTTATTTTTATATTAATTTTATTTAAACAAGTGATAAACAGGT